CTGAGCACAACCCCCCTCCACCTCCGAATGCACACCACTCCCTCGACACATCCGCACAACCCCCCCCCCCACGAAGCCTCCTGTTACCCCCTCCATCCCACTTCCACACGCATCCTCCGGAAGAGAGAGATGCCCCTCTGATGAAGCTGCTAGTGGCGCAGCAGAAAGGCCTCAGGGATATGCCACACCCTCCCGCGACTCGGCCAATCGGGCATAAGTGTACAGATGCGTCATCTCGAAGTCTCGTAAAAGGCTTGATGCGGGTTCTTATTCCATAACATTTTTTCCCCCCCTTTTTTTCTTCTTCTTCCCCTTTCTTTCGCCCCCCTCCTCACCCCAACCCCCCATGGCAATGATCTAGATGTGCTCGGAGGATCTTTGACGTTTTTTTAATTTTTTGTAGGATGGTTTGCTGGAGTCTATTTTTTTGATTGATGCTTCATTTGAGAACTTCGCACAGGGATTAACGACTCGCAGAAATGATTGCATTCGAGTATCTTCTTCCTCATCATCTTCTTCTTCTTCTTCTTCTTCTTCCGATGTCATAATTGTCTCTCTCTCCTCGGATCTATGGACAACTGTGTGAAGCTTCCATTCGTACTAGGTGAATGACTCGCATTACTGTCGTGACATTTTTTTCAATAAACGACGCCATAATTGCTTTTGCTTTTTGATAAAAATCTATAAGTGAGAATGTTTAGGCTTTTCATAAACTTGCATCATGTCTTTTGTGCACTCTACTGTGATGTGCTAGATTCCCCGAAATCGCCCTCCTCTTGGTCATATGACCTCATTTGTTTCCATACGAACAAGGGAAATAAGATGAGGAGATATGAACAAGAGTAGCAAAGGGACGTACGCATTTGAAATTCCCACTATAAGTGTAATGTTGCTCATGCCTGCCTGCATCTCTTTTGTAGCATTGGGATAAGTGTCGCTTCACTGATGCATGTTTATCTCCTCACTAGAAACTTCGAACGATAACTCGCACATGTCTTCCTCTGGTTTCTCTCCTCGTAGTCATATGACCTCATGCGTATCCACGAAAACGATGGAAATGTTATGAGAAGACATGAATAGGAACAGTTGCATGATTCATTCTCTCCTCATTTCATTCCTCTGCACTAAGAAATGCGCACTAAGTGAATGACTCGCGATAATGACGAGAGCTACGATCGACTATCTCTGCCGCATCTCTTCTCCACTAGGTGATTCGCAATGATGTGTAACCTTTTCTCGAAGAAATGATTCATTCTTGCTCTACTGAAATCTCTTCCCTCTTAGTCATATAGTCTCCCTTATTTCCGCACGAACGGCGGAAATAATACGAGGAGATACGAGTTAGAGCAGCGAGGGAAGACGTAGACGAAAATTATTATATGAATTTCGACTCACCCTGTTGAAAAAGGTTTGTCGCTCATACCCCACTGAGGGATGTATGTATATATCTTGCTTCGCACGTAATTTTCTTAAAAAATAGTAACATAACTAGCCTGGTCAGATCTCACCCGCTTCCACGAAGAACGACGGTAATAGTACGAGAAAATATGGAAACGAAACATGCGTATATAGGCATAATTACGAATATTTATACTTACAAGGCTATGGTACTCACTAATGTTGGAAGAAATTATGATCCGATCTTTCTTCACTAAGATCTCTTTCGCCAGGAATAGTAGGAAATTATGCATAGCAGCGGAGGAAATATGCGCGATTTGAATGATCTTCTAACATTAATCCCCTTTACCCACCCTACTCAGAAGATTTCCCGGAATGCAGGCTCTGATATTTAAAAAAAAAAACAGCAGGGTAGAATCCTGAAAACACACCGTCCGACCATGCTCGGATAATACATGAAAGCGAATACCTTGACAAAAGCCCATTATCCGGAAAAGAATAGTGAAATCCACATCGCTATAAATGACGTCTCGTCCTGCTAGATATTCCATAGTGTGCCGGTTAAACAATACCGGAGCTCAGCCTAACACGTAATCACGTGTCCTGGCGTGCGTACGAGCACACACATAAAACACACACACACACACACACACACACACACACAACACACACACACACACACACACACACACACACACACACACACACACACACACACACATTCCATCGATAGGATGAGCAAAATGGAATGAATCTTTCGCTGAAATGTGGAAATATACACTGCCACTTTTTGATTTGCTCATTCTATCGATCCAAGTAGCGTGCGGCGAGCCGTGGGGCTGGAAACTTAGCTGTTGGCCGAGGTTGGAGACTTATAGGCTCTCTCTCTCTCTCTCTCTCTCTCTCTCTCTCTCTCTCTCTCTCGCATACACACACACACACACACACACATTCCATCGATAGGATGAGCAAAAACGGAATGAATCTTCCGTTGAAATGTGGAAATATACACTGCCACTTTTCTATTTGCTCATTCTATGGATCCAAGTAGCGTGCGGCGAGGGGCGGGTTGGAGACTTAGCTGTTGGCCAAGGTTGGAGACTTATCGTCTCTCTCTCTCTCTCTCTCTCTCTCTCTCTCTCTCTCTCTC